TTTAGGAAAGGGAAAGATTTACTCTTCAAAGAGTAGTAGGTAAACAGCGAGATTCGCAGTGGATTTTTCCCCCAAAATGTTACTTTTTTGTGATAGTAACTCAGTGTTAGGATTGGTCGGAATATGGCAAAGTGAGGTATCGGTGGAAAGATCTATCTTTGGTGACGTTGTTGCTTACCAACTTATTAGCTTATAATGAAAGCTAAATCAGGGTCCAGGAAACAAAATGTGCATCGTTCCATACGGAACGAAAACGACCAATTCAATGCAGTCGTCAAAGGGTTAAGTAGAGCGCTAAAAACACACCTGTTGAGAGATGGCTTGTATCATGCAACGCACCTAACATTTTTTCTTCGTTAGTGCCCATGCTGCACTGTTAGTTTTAATGAGTTAAGTAGGTGCCATATAAAAGTATCAACAAAAATGATATTAACCACCGTCATCATCATCATCGTCATTATTATTTTCTCGATAATTTTGTCTTTTAGCCTAGTTTACTGAGTCTGAATGAACAGTTAGGTGGCCGCATCTGGACCGGGCTGATGGATGGTCTAGTCTTAACGGACACCTCGCTAAAACTCGGTGACCTTCAATTGGTCCCTGCCTTTCTTTACTCCTTTGGCTGCCTTTCTATCTTATGTAAGAAGGACATTCCTTTAAGAGGGACGTATAGTACCTAAAGGTGTCCGCCTTTAGACAGTTTACTCTGTATTGCCCATGCAGCCTCGTTTCAAGGCAAATATACCATCGATGAACCTCATTTCCAAGCCAAAATAATACTTATAAAATTATTACTTACATTGTGCAAATAATATTTTCATATTATTAAATGCTCATAACATTTAAAAGCTTATTAACTAACAAAAAAAACTATAAGAAGGCAAAACTACATGATTAACTGAATTTACAACATATCTAGTGGACCTAATAAAAAGCTAGTTTTAAAAAAAATGCTAAAAACTAGTTTGAATGTGTCTTAGGCAATATTTAAAAGTACTAAAATTTTCCTCATTACGAATATTGACGGCCAGCTGTTCCACAGTTTTGGTGACACAGCCAACAAGGCACGGTCACCAATAACTCTTGGAGCTTGTAGGAGGAGTCCGTTGTTTGACCAGCTCAAGTTGTACCCTCGACTTTCCTTGATATTAGTAAGTTGAAAAGCATAACTTGGAGCAAGAGTTCTGAAGGCGTTGAAGTTTTGTTATTTACCGACGGAAGACCATATAAAATACTATTACAATAATCGATATGTCATATTATCAGTGCATGAACCAATTGTGTTGCTTTGGTGCTTAAAAATTTTCTTATACGCCAGCCATTTGTGAGATGGTAATACTCGGCTATCGCCTACCTATAATGACAACTTCTGTTTTATCGTCATTAATCTTCAGTTTATCACACAAGATCCACGCTCTGATCTCACGAACGCAGAGCTCCATAACGGAAATAGCTTCGTTAGTACTCAAGACATAGTCGGGCTTAAAGGCTAAGTATAACTGCATGTCTTCTGCATAAGAATATATACCAGGCAAGTCTCGTTTTGACCACACTAGGCAGTTTGCTGACATACAAAGTGAATAGTAACGGTCCTAAACAGGCACCTTGTGAAACACCTTGCTTTAACTGGAAAGCGTTGGAACAGTTGCCATTAACTGAAACTCGCTGAAGCCGATTTGACAAATAGGAGCAAACCACTCCAGCGCTGTTCCCCTTATTCCAAAGCTTTTACTGAGACGTGATAGAAATGTGTTTAAACGCATCAAACACAGCTCGTGAGATCGAGTAGAGCCAATAGCACCACATGTTGGCAATTCATGGCCATTGTTTCTTAAGAAGTGTTATCTCCGTTTCTATGACCCTGTCTGTAAGCAGACTGTGGCATTAGATAAAGGTTATGATTGGAAAAGTGAACATTCATCTGATCAAACACAGCAAGCTCTTAACAATTTCGACACATACCGCCAATTGCTCACAGGTCGACGGTTATTGCAGTGGTTAATACCAGCTTTTTTGAAGCGTGGGTCAACCAACCCTTCCTCTTTGACATGATCTGTATGTCACTGGACATGATTTTTATATCAAAAAGAGCGGTCAATTTCCATCCATCCATTTCAATAAAAGCAAATGGAATCACTTCTCACTATAGTGGACAACCTCGAACCGTGACTTCGTCGGGTAAATATGCGGCACCAAAGAAAGAAGAAAAAGCTAACCCTTTTTTGATCAAATTATTTTAAGTTTTAAACTCGAAGCTTTATATTGTGTACCCTGCGAGCAGAGGCTATATTTTCGCTGTGTGAGCTGTCGTGCGAAAACTAGCCTCTGCCGACAACCGTTCAATTTTCTATCGTGCATACGCGAAATTCGTCCCGCGATTCGCAAGCAAAATTAATCATCAGGTCTGTCGTCAAATGGCGCGAGTTTCGTGGGAATAAAAAATTGCGACAACTCTAATCCGGCTACGCAAGACTCATGCAATGCTCTAAACCGGTCAAGAACAGGAAAAAACCCGTCGTTTAATTTATTCGTCCAGATTTCTGTACGGATTTGAACGGTTGTCGGCAGAAGCTACTTTTCACACGCCAGCTCAAATAGCGAAAATGTAGCCTCTGCTCGCAGGGTATATATAGTGTAAAATAATTATAATTTACTTTTACCGGTATCACTTGCAATAATAATAATGATAATAATAATAACAACAATAAAACCACATTGTCAGGATATAGGACAATGTATATAGCCCTATACCCCTAGCTCTAAGGCGTATTTGCTTACTAGGTTATTATTTAAACTTTTCAAGTTAAAGGGGTTACGTCATGGTGCAAAAAAAAAGCATTTTATGGTCACAGCAGAGCTGAAATTATAAACAAGTACTTTAGCAGTTTTGGTCATCGGTTTGAAAAAAACATGCAAAAGTTGGCCAACTTCAGTTCTTCCAAGTTCATCGACTTAGTCTCTTCCTCAACTTCTCACCTCAGGCACCCTTAAAGATTCGCGCTCAAAGTAAAGCGCGCGCTTTGATTGGTAAACTGCCTCTTTACTATTAAGCAAATGTTAAAGCTCTTAGCTTGTCCTATAGTCTTATGGATTCGCGCGGAAGGTTTCAAAGTACAAAACAATCGCAAGAGTAACTCAACTCTAGCCTTTGCACTGAGTAGCAAACCTCGCAAGCTATTGTAAGCGCAAATAGCACGGCACAAGGCGTGGAAAAACCAGGGGAAAAAGAAAAATGTTATTTCTTTAAGGTCCTTGTGTGTTGTTGTTTGTTTGTTCTTTCTTTCTTTTTCTTGGTAACAGAACTAAGTTTGGTTCGACTATTTCAAATCAACAGAGAAAATTCAAAAATTTGCCAGATTTTGAAGTAATAGCGAGGAAAAAGGACAGTATGTAAATCCTTCTATTTACAAAGGTTGAATTATAGGTCTGTCGTTCAAGCGATTCAAGATTCTTCTCTTATCCTCAGGCCATCGGTATCTCAATTCCGCCCAGAGAGGAAAATCCTGAGGGTCAATAGCTGCCTTTGACGGCGGCAAAGTTATGCACACCATCCGAGAAGCCGAGTGAGTGTGTGAGTAAATTGATCGAAGTAAGCTCACTTCATACCAAACACGCTTGTGTTCCTGTAGATAAGAAGACATAAATGAATATGATAAATAAATGAACAATTTAGTAATAAAATAGCAATTTGGCTTGTCGGTTTCCTCGTTACTTTCGACGATTTAAAGTTAATATCATCTCCCTGAAAACCCATTTCAAAAATACGGCGTAAGGTAAATTGATATTTTTTGATGACGATAACTTGAATCTCTTGCATATCTCTTCAAGATATGCCAAATTCTTTATGTCCTACGAAAGCGGACGTACCTAATATTTATTTTGTCGTTCCAATTAAACATTCTCAAGCTCATAACTAGTCCTCTTCTCTTCTAATTGTAGTTCTTTTCAACATTTCTCAGTTCCACGATCCTCTGAGTTGTTTTCTTGTTTATTTTCGCTACTCTTTCAGTAAGCTCCCTCCACTTTCTTGAGCTTCGCAATGTAAAACCAGCTGAGCCGCCGCGCCGCTGTCTATGCGTGACGTCAATCGTCTATTAATTGCAGACATTTCTTTACTTGACTTCTTCTAGCAATTCAAAAGCATATTTTTGTAACGTAAAGAAATTATATGACAATACCTGACTAGAGTATTGTGTTTCGTCCTCCTCTGCACCACACAAACGTAAAAGTCGAGGTGACAGAAACACGAGTACTTTGCTTGCTTTTTTAATCTGCTGTTCTGCCCATCGTTCTGGTCCAAGATTTACCATTTCGCTACAGCTCATTACGTCCATTACAACCATGTAACCATTCATTCTAAAGAAATTCACCACAGAAGCCACAAGCTTCTGGAATTCATCGCTTTCTGGGTAATAACACGCGTAGAAACGTTCGGGACCTATGAACAAATCAAAGACAAGTTATTAATCCTTCAGTAAAATGAGAGATGGAAGTGGGCATATTTTAGTTTGCCTTCTTCTTTCATATAGGGATGGCAAAGTTAAAGGAACATACCAGGCAGCAGAAACTGAGAAAGGCAACCTAAGTAAGACACCTGACCTATGTAACATGACGAGATTCATAGAGATCTGAAATCATAGACCCCTGCTGATGTTCGCCTATTCAATAGGCGAACATCAGCAGGGGAGCTCTGTAGAAGTAATCAACTTTTTACGGCTCATTTGCTTGGAGGTGACAAATTCTCATATCAACGGAATTCCTGTACGTCAACAAGATTTCGGTTCAACAAAAAACTCAACTTCAAATTAGCCGCATTGGAAGTCTTTCTGCCGAACCGGAATGCATTTGCCTCTGTAGTGGCTTCTCTTAAAATTTATTGTACTTCGAGAAGAGTGATTTTACGCTTTTATGAAACCCCATTTATCGTGAATAATTTCAATACAGCATGTAAGGCAGACTGGAAAACTAAAGGACTTATTTTCTTAAACTAACCCACCAAGAAAGAGGCCTGGAGGTCCAATGATTTCTGAAACCTCGGCCTAAGGTAACACGTAATGGTTTGAAAGTAATGTCACTCTATTTTCTTTTTGCCTCTCTCGCAAGTGAAAGTGAGAGTTCACAGAGACTGCGCGGTTTTCTCGAGTGCGTTTTAGAAGCTGCCTTAACGGAAAGGTTACTACACTACCGGAATTAAAACATCGAGGAAATTATTAATTTAAAGCCGCGGAGTATTTTCCCCAACAATGAATAATATTACCTCTAACTTTCTGCGATAACACTGCAAAATACTTCAGATTATTTTTCAACCGAATAGGCTGCGAATTTAATGCGATGATCATGGTCACTTTCATACCTTCATCTGCATTTCATATATTTCAATTCATGCTTACAAGATCTCCCTAATTTTATGTCTGAACGCAAGGCTTTTTTAATGGAAACTTCATTCAAGGGCAGAACTAACACTAAGCGCTAAACGGAAACTGCCTTATGAAAAAACTTTTAAAATTGACGCGCTGTTTTAAAGGCCTCACTGGATCTGGATGGGGTTAAATACAAACGTAAGCGAAACACTAAATAAAATTCTCACAGAGCCACAGCCTAAAAAGGCTAAGCTGCTCTGTTGAATCAGGAAGGCCGAACTTTTTTTCTTAATGCTGGTCAGAGATTCAAACAATATCTAAAAGCCAGTTTTTAGTTCCCTCTGAGACACCCGGAGAATAAAATTCTCACAGAGCCACAGCCTAAAAAGGCTAAGCTGCTCTGTTGCATCAGGAAGGCCAAACTTTTTTCCTTAATGCTGGACAGAGATTCAAACAATATCTAAAAGCCAGTTTTTAGTTCCCTCTGAGACACCCGGAGAATAAAATTCTCACAGAGCCACAGCCTAAGAAGGCTAAGCTGCTCTGTTGCATCAGGAAGGCCAAACTTTTTTTCTTAATGCTGGACAGAGATTCAAACAATATCTAAAAGCCAGTTTTTAGTTCCCTCTGAGACACCCGGAGAATAAAATTCTCACAGAGCCACAGCCTAAAAAGGCTAAGCTGCTCTGTTGCACCAGGAAGGCCAAACTTTTTTTCTTAATGCTGGACAGAGATTCAAACAATAACTAAAAGCGAGTTTTTAGTTCCCTCTGAGACACCCGGAGAATAAAATTCTCACAGAGCCACAGCCTAAAAAGGCTAAGCTGCTCTGTTGCATCAGGAAGGCCAAACTGTTTTACTTAATGTGGGGCATGCACTATCATCTTCACGGATCTAATCAGTGCAAAATGAAATAAAGCTTTAATCCGTAAATCAATTTTTGGTTTATGAAATTTTACTCACTTTTACCGACTGTTGATAGCCACTGGCTTTCGCAAAATAAATTTTCCTGTTTTCTTAAAAGGGATTCGATAAAATTGAAAATATCCACTACGATCCACACTTAAAAACTGAACTCTGACTCGTTTGCGATCAGGCTTAAGAAATAGTGATCTCCATCAACATTCTCCATGAACATTACACTTTCACATCATTAGCAGTTATTGAGAATTTATGAAATGATCGAGTGATCAGTGTCGACCTTAAAACGTTTTTGCGCCAAAATGATAATAGGTATCCATTTGAAGATGATACAAAGGAACCCAAAATAGACTTACCAAGTTTCGGCCGATGTTTAGAAAATTGAAAAGGGCTGGAGAGCATCACCGTTCAGGCTAAATCCAGTCAGCGACCCTTAATAAAAATCATTTAAGCTTACATAATCAACAACGACGTGAATGCCCGAGTTTCTGACTTGACGGTCATCTGCCACCGTCAGGAAATCGTACGATATTGCTTCTCGAATGAATCCCTCATTTTAATTTCCCCAATTCATTAATCCACGACTAAGTACCTTTTCGAGATCTTCTCCGCACGACGAAACGCTTTCCTTGACTTCTCTGACCGCTTCCCGCTATATTTTCTAGTAGCTGGAAGGAATTTAGTCCTTCTTTGATCGCTTTAAACCCGCTTTCGTCTGCATTTCATCGGGCACGTGCTAAGGCACGTGCTAAGGTTGAAACGACAACAACATGATCTTTCCTCTTTGAAACACCAAACCTTGATGGGTTGACTCGAGCGCCAGTACTATCTGTACTATCGACCAAATCATAAATGGCTATAAATAATCGGCTCTGCTACTTCCATCATCTCTACATAAAAAGCATAAAATTTTGACTTGCCATGAATTATATCTGTCGGTAAAACCATTTGGTCACTGATACTGTGTACGAGATTACCTTTGTTTGGCAAGCGAGGGTCCAAAGAGCGAAGATGCTTTTCCCGACGAACGCGCCACTTTCATGCCGGCTTTGAAATTCGCGCGAGATCGCATTGTGATACAAAATAATAGTATCTGTCTTTCGTCTCAGCTCGTCTTCCAGACGGTGGTGGTGGTGGCGATAGTTGTGATGGTGATGGTTATGGTGATAGATGATGGTGATGGAAATGGTGCTTTTGATGGTGATGGTGATGGTGATGG